AAAGTATCGCAGGATAAGTAAGCTTGGCAGAATTCCGTGTTAATGATTTCAGGGGAGAATCAGTTTATTTTAAGCTTTTTTCTATTTTTATTGATTTACATTTTTACAGTTGTGCAAAATTATGGGGTTTATGGCTTTTGTATTTTTACCTATTGAAATTTTCAGAGTTAGGGAAAATTATGGGGGAGTCAGGCAATAGCTGGAGGAATCAGACACTTATTTAACAAGACTATATACTGGGATTCAAAAAGTTAAAGCTCTGTAACAGTTAAATCACAAACCGTCATCCCATGTCAATAAATACACAGTAAATATCCTTAAATCAAACTGTAATAAGTTCTCAAGCAGCATTCTTACTTGGCCTGTCTGAAAATGTTGATAAATATTGATTGAAATATTTTTCCAATCAATTTGTGGGCATGTTGAAATTGATGTTTGTCAACATTTACCAATAAAAACCTAATCCAAGCCTAGGTATGAGAGTTCTTTAAATTCCCCTGGTGCAAAACAAATTGCAATTGAAACAAAAGCAATTACCTAGATGATGAGGGGTTAATCCTCTTTTGTTTAATATAGAAAATGAAAATGTTATTACCACTGAACAAATGGAAGTCAGTAATTTTTGAGAGGATACACCTTTATACAAGCTGAGGCAGTCAGCACCTTGGACCTAAATCAAGGCAAGTTTTTAGCAACCCCTTTCAACAAAGGGTCATTTTCTCCCTCAAGTTTCAGCTCTATAATGATATAGGTAATTAGAACCAAAGATGTACATTAAAACTCATGTGAGATGTTAGAGGAACATGGCTGCAATTGTAGAAACAAATGCAAACCGTCACTTGATATTTACTTAAACACAGAAATGTTGTCATGATTTTAACTTCTTTATTCAGTGTGGGAAATACAAGCACACCACTCTACTGCCCTAATGAACAGGAGTCAAAAGGAAACTGACCTGCCGGTGTAGTCTTTAAGCTGAGCAAGATGCAAAAACTAATCTAACAGCATGAGAAAGTAAAGAGTAAATACAATTTTTCAGTTCTCGTTTTCAATGTCCCTAACATGACTAATTGCAAGGACAAAGGTGCATTTTTAAATACGATTTTTATCTTGACAGTACAACCCTTTTACAGTTGCTTTACAAGACAACTTGATGGCGACCGTTTTCCCCCTTAAAACATCTCGATGTGTTCTTGTTTGAAAAATAACACAACCAGTGTATAAGAAACTTCTATTTTCATTCCCGTTACAATTCTTAGCACCTTAAATGCTCTCATTAGGTTGCTGAAATCATAGGTTCTGTGTAATCCAACAGACCACACTTTTCATTGCAACGCGGTATCTTTTCTCAGGGGTAGCATATTATAGCTCCCTTGTGAGCTGCTCCACGCAGGGATTTTGGTTTTTTGGGTAGGTCTGTAAAACGCTGTGCACACTTGAGGCAGTCAAGAATATAACGGCCCCATTACCAGAATAATCAGAGCTCCTGCAACAGAAACCAGCTGCACTCCAAAAAGGGACCCATAATGCCTGCAGAAGCGGATGCTTCTACCACGGTCTAGCAAAGAGCAGCACAGCGAGGTCTTCTTTGCTCAGGGCTCTTCTCAAAGCGCTCAACGGCCCAGCCCCGGGGTGCAGCTCTCTGGGCACGGAGACGGGCTGCAACAGACCAGACACCCCGTCCAGCCTCGTGCACGCCCCCGCTTCTTGGTTCGCGGAGATTTTGTCTGCCGGCAAAGGCACGTGCACCCGAGCACCTTCCAGGGAGGGGACAGCCAGGCAGACAAGGCTACAGCTCCGAGGGGGGGACGACCCAAAGCAAACCTGTTTACACCGAAACACACGCCGCCCACACCGCTCTTGCGAAGGCCTGGCACTGCCCCCGGGCCAACCCCCCGGCGGCGACCCCGATTCCTTAGGGAGGGCGGAAACTATCCCGGTTCCCGTCCGGGCGGATCATCCCATCAGCAGCGCGACCCACGCGCATCCTACACCCCAACCTCGCACGGCCCCCCCCGCACACACATCACCGCATGGCACCCCTCACTCCCTCTGCCTCCCCGGCCTTTGCACCCCCTCTCCGGGCCCGCGACAGGCTCCCGCAGCCCAGCCCGCTGAGCAGCGTCTCCGCTGCACCCCACGACCGCGCCCGCCCCTGCCCACCTTCCGCACCCCCCCGCCGCTGCGAGCACCCGCCCGAAGCGGGGGGCTGCCCCCGGCGCAGCGCTGGCCCCGCCCCGCTACCTTCTCCTCGGGCTCCGGGGCCCCGCCGAGCCTCTGCCGCAGCTCGCTCATCTTGGCCCGAGGCCGCGGCGTCCGCCCCGGCTGCCGCTCCCGGTGCAAGAGCCGCCGCTCCGAGCGCTGCAGCGCGAGACCAGGCGGCGGCGGCGGCGGCGGCGGCGCGAGCGGCCCCGGGGTTCCATGGGGGGGGGGGGGGAGGGAGAAAGCGGCCGAGCCAATAGCAGGCGCAGGAGGGGGGGAAGGGGGCGTGGCCGCTCCTCTGTCTCCGCCAGCCTCGTTCTCAATGCGGAAGCCGCCGCCGTTCCCTCTCTTTCTCGCTCGCGCGCGCGCGCGCGCGCAGCCCCGCCCAGGTGTGGCAGCTCTCCTGCCGAGGCCGCCATGATCGGTGGACGCAGGGGCGGACGTGGGGCCGTCACCCCGCGCCCTCGCCCGTCCCACGGGATTCCCGCTCCAGAGAGCGATGGAGGCCTGGGAAGCGGGGCCAGGCGGGCGGGGGTGCAGTGCAGGGCTGCTGGAACTAGGGGTGTTGCTGCACCCCTTGGCTTGAAGTGGCTTCCATGGCATGCGGGGTTTGCAATTTGCTTCTCAGGATCCCCACCATACACATTGTTCCCCTGCCCCTGCTGCCGGGGGCACGTCATTACCGGCCAAAGACCCCCCCTCTGCACCCACGCAAAGGGCTGCATCCACCACGTGGCGCTGAGTCTGTCTTCGCAGGCAGGGCTTGACCCTCCAAAGAGACACAAAGGCCACCGTTTGGGGTGTGAGGACAAACAGAGTCCCAGGCCAGTAGGGACCAGTGTGACCATGTAGTCTGGCCTCCACTATAGCACAGGCCAGAAACCTTCTCCACAATCTTTCCTAGAGCAGATCTTTCAGGAAAACATCCAGCCTTGATTTTAAAATTGTCAGTGAGTGATGTAGAATCCACCAGGAGCCTTGGTAAATGTTTCCAATGGTTAATTACGCTCGCTGTTTAAAATGTACTTCCTATTTTCGGTCTGAATTTGTCTAGCTTCAACTTCCAGCCATTAGATCTCATTAGACATTTCTCCGCTGGCCTGAAGAGCCCATTATAAAATTTTTGTTCCCCAGGTAAGGACTTATAGATTGTAATCAAGTCACCTCGGTATTGTTAAATAGATTGAGCTCTTTGAGTCAATCACTATAAGGCATGTTTTCCAATCCTTTAATCATGCTCAAGACTCTTCTCTGCACCCTTTCCAAAATGTCAACATCCTTCTTGAACTGTGGACACCAGAACTGGACACAGTATTCCAGCAGTGGTCGCACCAGTGCCAAATAGAGGTAACATAACCTTAGTTGTTCAGCATTCAATGAACAACAAATTGGTGGGGAATGAGAACTCTGGACAGCTTTAGAACTTGGTTTTGCAATTTCAAAGAAAAGTGGCAAGTGATGGTGTATTGAAGCTGCCACTGACATTGTAATGCAGTTGCTGACCTGGGTATCAAGGGTCTCTCTACTGGAGAGGCTAGGCTGTGTGTTACAGGCCTTTAACTGATTGCAAGTAAGGAACAATGTTTAATTCAGGGGGGCTTGTGCTTTTGTAGGAAGTGGCTCTGAGCTCTGTGATATTTTGAGTGACCACTGAGTGCAGCATCATGAAAGCCGGAAAGTTCCTGGGAGGTTTCAGATTGATTACATCACCACAAAAACCACCACAATCGGTGCAAGTTGGCAAACTCTACAGCTTGACCAATCCAAACCCATCTGGCAGCCCAGAACTGCCATGGGGCCTTCAGCGCATCAGAACTCCGCACTGCCCCAAAACCTTCAGGACTTCAGCTTTCCACCCAGGCCCCTCCCATGACTCTCGTGAAACCCTAGGAGCGCCAACATGCCATCCTGCCGCTGCAAACCCTGCTTTCCCACTCAGTGCCACTTAACCACCCGGGGCCCAAGCTTCCAATTATCAGCCCCTATGCACAGAGGGGTGCACAACTGCCCCGGAACCATTGGGGCCCCAACAATTCATTCAACAGCCCCCCACATTTCATAGACTATCAGGGTTGGAAGGGACCTCAGGAGGCCATCTAGTCCAACCCCCTGCTCAGAGCAGGACCAATGCCCCAACACATTTGCAGTGGACCCTACAGAGTCCTGATGTTCCACCCAGCAGCAGCCCCTGCTCCTCTCCTCCAGCGGCTCCGAGGCCGACAGGTCCCTAAATGTTCCACCCAGAAGCAACCCCCCCCCCCCCCGATGCCATGGGAAATTCAAGGCCCCCACATTCCACACAGCTACTGCTGTGGAACATTTGGCGCCCCAACATTCCATCGATCCCCTCCCATGGAACTTATGGGGCCCCAACATTCCATTTACTCCCACCCCCCGCTCCGCCCATGGGACAACAGGGGAGAAGCTGGGAGTGGGAGGAGCTGTGGGCACGAGGGCGGAGCCCAGTGCTGAGGAGAACAGCGATTGGCAGGTACGTATGGACAACGAGAGCCACGCGTTGATTGGTGGTCGTACCGTAAGTGGTGGGTGTGGCTCCGATTGTGACACGTAAGGTGATTGGCAAGCATGGAGCGACGTTATCTACGTCGTGATTGGCTGAGCACAGGCATGCGGGCGGGATTTCTGACGCTTCTCCGGTGAGCGGGTGTGCTGTCAAGGGGGCGGGACTACCGGTATGACGGGGGCGCTCATTGGCGAGCGAGCCGCGCGCCGGCGAGGCTTCCGGCGCCAACCTGTGTATGATTGGTGCAGCGCGACGTGTGGGCGGGGCCAGGACGCGAGGCCCGAGGCGCTATAAGAGCCGCCGTTTGGCGCCCAGGGGAGGCAGTCGGGGGGGAGTCTCTGTGTGCGCGGAGCAGCGCGGCGCTGGGTTTGGGTGGCCTCTCCCCCGCTGGCAGGATGTTCGAGGCGCGGCTGGTGCAGGGCTCGGTGCTGAAGCGGGTGCTGGAGGCGCTCAAGGACCTGATCACCGAGGCCTGCTGGGACCTGGGCTCGGGCGGCATCAGCCTGCAGAGCATGGACTCCTCGCACGTCTCGCTGGTGCAGCTCACGCTGCGCTCCGAGGGCTTCGACACCTACCGCTGCGACCGCAACATCGCCATGGGGGTCAACCTGGCCAGGTAGCGGGGCTGGGGGCAGGCCCCTCAGCGACGGGCGAGAAGCGGGCAGAGCCGTGGGGGGAGGGGGAGGGGGTTACTGACTGGCGCGAGAGAGCGAAATTCTTGGGGGGGGGGGGGGAGCGGGGGCGAGTGGTGTCTCGCGCCGTTTCTGCAGCGCGCGCTGCCCGCGAGCGGAGGTGACGTCATTTCGGCGCCAGTCGCACAATGCCCCGGCCGCGCTGGCGGGAAAGCTGCACGGGGGGGCGGGGCCGGGGGGGGGGGCCGAGTGCCCGGGCCTGGGCGGGGCGCTCCGGGGCACGGTGGCCAGGGGCGTCCGGTGAGCGGGGTCCGAGTTACGGCTTCTCGCCCCCCGCCGGCGGCCTTGCCACCTGCCCTGGCCCGCGCGGGTTGGCGGGGGGGGTTCAGGCTGAACAGCCCCCGGAGCCGCCATGTCGCAGGGGCTGATCTCTGTTCCCCGGCTGCTGTTGGCGTTGATGCGCTGGAGGCAGCCGCATGAAAGCGGTGTGTGAAACAGACACACACCCCCCCCCCCCCCCGGGTTTCTTGCCCATACCACTTCGGTGCAGTCTGGCTGAGCGAGTTCTCTTGTTCTTTCCTAGTATGTCCAAAATACTGAAGTGTGCTGGCAATGAAGACATCATCACCCTCAGAGCAGAGGACAATGCAGATACACTGGCTCTGGTATTTGAGGCACCAAGTAAATATCTCGACTCCAAATCTTTTCACAATTAAGATACAACTTCTTTAATTCAGTTATGAAGCAAAATTGGGGTGAAGTCTTGTAATTCTGCATTTCTGAACAGCTCATCAGTGCCTTGGCTTCCTTTGCTGTTCCAGAATTAAAATATATGCATATCTTTGAACCATCAGTCATTGCTTAACTTTATTAAGCACTATATTTTGGGTGGACTTCAGTGGATATTTGTCTAAAGAATAATTGTGGCATTGGGGATAGTCACAAAGTGGCAGCAAGAAAAATCTAAAACATTATTTGATTTCTTTATCAAATTAAGACTACACTGAGGAAATCTTCTGGGACAGAATCTAACCAACATCCCTAGCTTTAATATTTTAGAACAGTTCTGGTCAAATATATCCTATCTTTTTAGATCAGGAGAAGGTCTCTGATTATGAGATGAAGTTAATGGATTTGGATGTGGAACAACTTGGAATTCCAGTAAGTCTTGTCTCCACTGCTGACCTAAATTAGATTATTGGGTTTTACAAATAAGTATACAACTTGAAAGTTTAGTTGTCATAAAATGTTTTGTGACTTTCTTCCCGTTAAGAAATGTAATAAACCTGAACTTTATTTCAAGGCAAACTTAGTTTCCCAACAAAGCTCTCATTAAATTTCAGCAGAAGCCTTAGACTTGTTTCTGTGTGATATTTTTGGCCTAAATCTGCTGGCTGGCTGTCTCACATGCTAATGTACAAGGTCTTGCTGACTTTTCACTTGTAAAATCCCTTAAAATAACAAAACAGCATGAATTGAAATCCACAATAGAAGGTACACCTTATATGTAAATGTTTATCATTACGTATTGGTTCTAGTTTGAATAGACTAAAGCAGCATAATGGGACTGGGTGGTACTGAATCTGGAAGCAAAACAAACATGCTTGGGTAATTAACTTTCAGTGCTGCAAACTTCACTGACTCAGTCAAGCTGTTTTTCCATGTCCATAAAGATCTTACACAGACTAAATAAGGCTGTATAAGTATCCCTTTTATGGCTTCTTTGCTTTAAGTGGATTTTCATAAATATAGCTAAGAAGTTAGCAAGCTTAGATGGACTGTGAAATGGAATCAGCCTGTAAGTACTGCAGAGCCAATGTAAGTAAAAAGCTACAGACTTGAAAGTTAGCAGATAAAACTGAAAATGCCAAGGCCAGATCTTGCTAACAAGCTGCTGTTTTTTCAGCCATAGTTCAGATTAGAACTGCACCTCAGAATATTGAAGTGGAATAACAGGATTTTCTTTTCTGAAAGAATGCAACAACTTTTGTCTTGAATAGAAGTGACAGAGTACAAAAGTTTGTTCAGGTACTGTTAGAAACTATATCTAAGGTTGTCTTCTCACAGGAACAAGAATACAGCTGTGTAGTGAAAATGCCTTCTGGTGAATTTGCACGGATCTGCAGAGATCTCAGCCATATTGGAGATGCTGTTGTCATCTCTTGTGCAAAAGATGGTGTAAAATTTTCTGCCAATGGAGAGCTAGGAAATGGAAACATCAAGCTGTCACAGACCAGTAATGTGGATAAGGAGGAAGAAGCTGTAAGTTTGGTGGTGGTCTGAAAATTTTCTAAAATACGGGGACTCGAGTATCTCACTACTGTTGGAGCAGGAGCAACTTTCGAGTCATCAATTCTCTGCAAATTTTTCAGAAAGTCCAGCCTACCTGGCTGGGTCTAGAGAACTGACAAGCTACAACATTCTGGGTCTTTCCTGTCTCTAATACAGGGCTGAGTAATACGTGGGTATTAGAAAAATGGGAGGTGGGTGGGGGAAATGTTACTAGTGTTCTGGCTGGCGTTTGCTCTGTTGTGGGAGAAAATTGCTGTCACTGCGGTTGCAACTAATAGTTGATAGGTGCCCAGAAGTTGCTTCTTGTGCCATGCTACATTTATGGGCTATGAGAACATGAAGAAATCTGTCCCTGGAAAAAGGTTCAGAAATGACATGAATACTTAATGGGGCTCTACTGATCATTGTCCTTGCTTTTAAGAGAGCATTGTAGTCTTAATTCATGATTGGTGGTTTTGATTTCTTCCTGTTAGGTTACAATAGAGATGAGTGAGCCAGTCCAGCTCACTTTTGCATTGAGGTACTTGAATTTTTTCACCAAAGCCACACCACTGTCACCTACAGTGACACTTAGTATGTCTGCAGATGTTCCACTAGGTAAGTAATACTGCTTTCAGTTCTTCAAAACAATTTTGTATAGCTACACCACTTCTAAGCTGCATTGTAAAGTCTCAACGCTGGCCTAAACTACACTGTTTGTTGGAAGTGTTCTGAATAACTGACTTGCCTTTTTTCTCCCTCAGTTGTGGAGTACAAGATTGCGGATATGGGACACTTAAAATACTATCTTGCCCCAAAGATTGAGGATCAGCAGGATGGTTCTTAAAATGCACTAGGATCAAGGGAAGATCCCCTGAGAGCTGTTGAGAGATGAAAACTACTTTTCTGAGGAGGAAGGAAGCCTCAAATAATGCTGTTAGGCATGTTTGTAGATATTTCTCTGTAAATATTTTTTCAACTTATTTTTGTTTTGTATCTTCTTTGAAAAATGCTTGTATCTTTGCTATTCTTGACCACGGGTCTATTTACACCTTTTTAGATGCTGTTTTTAGAACCTACGCTTTAACTCTCTTTGGAAGTTGCTAGTTGTAAAGGGCCGCAATATTGAAACATTGCGTTACTATAAAAAGTGATCTTTCTAGGGCTTTACCTGTGAAACCTCAGTCAACTGAAGTTACTAAGTTTCTAAATGACTTAACAGAAAAAGAGTTCAGTCTTTACGATGTCCTTATCAAAACGGGAACTGTACTATAACTGAAATGTGAAAATGGTAATAAAATTTTTGAAGCTTATTCTCAAACTATGACTAGACTTAACAGTAAGTCTGAATAGCACTGAGAATATTTATTTTGGTTTTAAGTCAAATGTATACCTCAGCATGAGCTTAGATCTCAACATTATTTGTAATCCAATAAAAAAAAACTTGGAAGGCTTCTGGTATTTCATGTGACCATGACCTGTACCCATCAGCTTTTTAGTGGACAATCACATGACTGATTTTAAATACAGATAACTAATGTGGTGATTAAAAGATACTGCCATCTAGCCAATTTCAGTTTGCAGTTAAAATTAAACATTCCTTATTTGTTGGCTGTAACTGGAAGCTAAGTGACATAAGTGAGTGTGACCGATGTCTCTTAAACAGCTTGTATTTGAAACCTGCATACTTGTTTTGCAGCAGGTTGTCTCTTGATGTAAGAGGGGAAGTCTAAGGCCAGAGAGCACAGTGATCTTGATTGCACACATTGCAGCATAACCACAGATGTGGAAGCAGTTTGCCTAAACTAAGGCAACTTTGCATAGATATGCTTACTATGATTTAAAAGTGGTTTACATCAATTTTGATTAAGTTGATTACTTACTGACTCAAGCTTAATTGACTTTTTTTAAATGTGTTTACAGAAGTGGCATTAAAATAATTAAGCATACCTCTTTCAACTATTGCAACTTTCAATTTCCAGACTTGTCTGACCATGTTAATAAACTGGAAATTTTGTAATTGCAGCTCAACTAAATTATCTAAACTTTCTTAAAATAGTGTTAAGATGAATGACAAGTTCAAAATAACTTCTACTCAACTTGTATACAAAACAAATACAGCCCAATTTAATTTTGTTACTGATTGCAAAATTAGTGCACTAATACCACTTTCGGGTAAGACTTTGAAATACCAATAACTCTTCCCATTTTCCTTCAGCTTGTAACAAAGATGATGCATTATTTGATTTTTTTTCCTAAAAACCATTTACAATCAATTGGAGTAAAAAACCTGTTAAATTGCAGCCAACATTTATATTAAAAGTTACTCAAATTCTCGGTAGGTCCAGGGAAATGTCAGGGAGAATTAATTGCCTTGCTGGGGCCCGCAGTTTTCCCAGCTGCAAGAGTATTTGGTTAGCACTTTCCAATGTCAAATGCTTTGGGAGCTAGGGTGGTTTAAACTACCCCACAGGCCCATCCCTAGAGAAATTTGGCAAGAACTTCTGCTCTGTATGGAGAGAGTAATATATTTCTTAGACTGCTCATGACCATTAAATCGGGTGTTTGGGGGCCTGAGTTAACCAGTGTTCCAAATATAATTCAGCTACCATGATATTGCTCAAAACTTAGCTGAAAGCCCTGTGAAACCTCCAACCATCTTCAGTTTTGTTAGTTACAAAATGACTGCACTCACTATCTGTTAGAATGATGATGTAGAGAGTCACAAGGTGGCAGCCGTAGGCTAAAACCAACACTGCTTTGCTATCTCAAACTACAACGGGTTTGAGGATAATATTTCTGCAGAAATTCCCCTGCGTAGCTGCTGTCAGACCATATCGCTCTGTAGGAGCATTAGAGCTGACTTTTTAAGACCCCCTAAACACGTTTCTTTAATTGATTATCTCTCAAAGCATTGAGGGAATTTCCTGTGCTCAACCAAATAGCCTGGCAGAGAGGGAGAATTGTGACGTGTCACCTAGGGTATGATAATCTCACTAGTTAGTCACCATCTTGCAGCGTCTTCCACCCACCGGTGTTTGCAACAAATTTTCTTTTGTGGTTGCAGAGTGTGGCACTTTTTCCTATAATAACTAGGCAAAACAAATGAATATGCACATATACACGTCCAAATCATGGTAATTTGCGTAGGGTGGTGGTGAGGTTTTTTTTTTTTTTTGCAGACTCCATAATAAAAATAATGCTGTAAAGAGTGATACTTGTATGTTTGTTAATATCACTTATCACAGCTTCCCAGCTCACCAGTAAGTCTGCTGTGAACAATGATAGTTGTATGTTAATATCACTTCTCAGCAAGCCCCAGGACAAAATAAGGCCTGGGTGGGGTGGTCAGAGGGGGAAGGCTGTGGGAACCTGAGGCAATGGTGGAGGTGATGAGCTCCACTGCCATGTGGCCAGAGCCAGGGGTCAGCACCCAGGGCCAGCACATGCCTGTGTGGCCAGAGCTGGGGCTGCATGACCAGGGGTCAGTGCCTGCAGCCGGAGCCGGGACTCACTGCTGCACAGCCAGGGCCAGGGGTGCCACCTTCTGCCAGCAGGAATCAGTGCTCACTGGTGTGTGGCAGGGACTGGGGATCAGCACAGGGCGTGGCTGGAGCTGAGGGTCCATGCCTGATGCTGCTCGGTCACAGCCAGGGGTCAGCACCCCTGGCCAGCTCCAGCTGCTGGAGCCCAGGGCCAGAGCTGGGGGCCAATGCCCACCGCTGAGCGGCTGGAGCTGGGGGCCAGAGGCCGGAGCCACATGGCCAGAGCTGGAGTTCAGCACCTGCCGCTGCGCACCTGAAGTCCCGCCTCTGGAGCCTGCCACCCAACCACCCCAGGGCTGAAGCCCGACCCCTGACTCCTCTGCAAGGTGGGTTGAGATTTCACCTTGCTCCTGCAGCATTGTGCCCCACCGGTCTCCACAGCTGGTGCAGGGTGCGGGGGGGGGGGGGGTGCCGATCCTTTGCCCCCCTTCCTCATCACCCCCCCAAGAGGCTGTCGTGGCTGGATGAAAAGCCCCAGGTGGCTGCGTGCAGCCACGGTGGCCACATTTGAGAACCGCTGCACTAGAGAAACACCCCTTTGCAGTCTTTTAATCTGAATGTGGAGGTCTCAACCTTGCATGAGCTATTCATGGCTGCTGTTGGCATCTCTCTGCATAGCTGCTAGTCTCTCCCACGTGTCATATTGTCAGTAGATTGTTAGAAATGGTTTAGAGCACTTGGGTCAGGTGGTGCTGCCTGAATGCCTGTCATTGTCAGAGCCAAACGCTGCAACTGGTCTGGAGCAGTAAGTACCAAGTCAGTAAAGGATCCAAATTCAGTGCCCCTCTTTTTCTCCTGTTATAGCACATTTTCAGGTCTGTTTTAAAGGCCCAATCAGCTGTTCTCACTGTACATCAAATCATCAGAAATGATTAGGGGACTGGAACACATGACTTACGAGGAGAGGCTGAGGGAACTGGGATTGTTTAGTCTGCGGAAGAGAAGAGTGAGGGGGGATTTGATAGCTGCTTTCCACTACCTGAAAGGGGGTTCCAAAGAGGATGGGGAAGGGGACTCAGAAACGTGATGTTGAACCAAGGAGCTGAGATCAGCTTTGGATTACTGTAAAGTGCAGGAATGGTTCTACGCTTCCATGGTGGTAATCTTTAATCACGTTTCACCATCGGAAATGAAGCGGGGCTAATGGTTGTCGCCTTGAGCTTCGCTTCCTGGTGCAACCCCCAGCCATACACCCTCCCCGACCCCCAATTGCACGACTCCCAGTGCTTCCGAAAAACACACAACTTGCAATAAAGTTAGAGGTGCTGGCCACAATGCAGTTCCTGTGTTAAATGTGTGAAGTCATGCTGCGTAGTTATACAGCTACTGTGCCTCATCCGGTCATTTGGGATGGCTGAAGGAATCTCTGGATCTAGCCCTTGGATTATTTTTGTTTGTATCTCTAGCACCTAAAGCCCTCATCGTGGCTTGTTTGGCATTTTTTTAAGTAAGCTTCTCGCTCTTGCTGGAGATAAAAGTTGGAAGGTGTGAACCCTAAAAGCTGAAACGCCGGATGGCAAATAAAAAGATCCCAACATTTATTATTTATAAAAAGCAGCTCATGATTTTGAGGGCTTCATAATTTTTTTATGTGGTGGGGAGCGGGGGCGGACTGATTATGTGTTGCACAAACCTGTATTATGTGTGTTCAGCCCTTTGGGTTGAAAAGTGCTGGATCAATGCAAGTTATCTGATACACTTTGTAAATAACTAAGAGTGGCCCTTTGAATTTATTGACCGATTTAGAAAGCTTCTACAGGCAGCCTATCTGGGATTTTACCATCTTGAGTCAAAACTTGTGAGTGAGAAAAAAATATGAGGGAGATATTTATAAATGCCTCATGAAACGACACTGCAGAATCCTTAATTGTAAGAGCAAGATGCTTGGCAAAAAAAAAAAAACTGTCCAGAAATATCCGAAGTTGGGATCCCCCTCACCCACCAGCCCACACAGGACAGCTCTGAATTCAGCCAACAAGCCCCAGCCTGTCCCATTCATGTGACACACAGCCCCAGCAGTGGCACACAGCACAAGCTGTCCAATCAGGTGCCACTCTTCAGCTACCAATCAAGGGCTTGGTTGTTGTTGGTTTTTTTGTTGTTTTTTTTTTTTTAAAGAAGAAATGGGGTCAAATCAAAATGAGGTTTCGTGCCATAACCTGGAAGGAAATGAGTGTCACGGGGAGTAAACTTCCTGGGTTGGTTTGCAGTAGGTGCAGGAGAGGGCACGGCAGGACTGGGAGAGATGGGCTTGAATAACAGGTACAGAACACTGTGGCAGTGAAATTTTTATTCTGCTTCTTCGTGCTAAAACCTTTGCATTTTGCACCTCTTGGGTGCCCACGCTGAACTGGCTGGTTTGATCCGCCACCCAAGTGACAGAGCCATGCCATTCCAGATACGCCTATGAACAGCTCCCTTTTGAATTCTCCCTGTTAGCAGAGAGAATACTGTTCATCAGAACACTTAATCTACATTTGTTTAAAGGGGTAGTGGATCCACGTCCTGGAGTTGGATGTTTCCAGGCTCTCTGGATCTCTCCTTGGAGTTTGTGACACTAGGGAGAATTTAAAACTTCTAAAGTGGTCCCTCTTTATCAGGGTTACGATGGAGAAAGAGTTTGTCGCCCTTACAAGGACAGGAGAGACTCCCCCTGTATAAGCAATCCTGGTGGGGCAGTGGGAGTGGAAGTTTATTTAAAAAAAACACCCTTTCCTGTGACACAGATCTGTCAGTGAGCCTGAGCTTTATTCTGGAAGTAAAATCAACTGACGTTTATGGCATGTAGAAGGTGGCTAGACATCATAAAAAAAAATTTTGGATTGCGGACAGATTTCAGCTGTAAAGAAGGGCAGGTAGGGAGCTAGATACTGCCCATTCTAGATCCCGAGTATATCCGTTGTTTTCAGTGGACGTACTCCAGATTGACGTTGATATAAATGAGAACATAAGACTCTGACTCTGAGAGTTTCAATGGCTTGCTCTGAATCTCCACTTTATTGACAGTTCCTAGCATTAACACCCAGGCCTTGATTCTTTTCTCATTTATACTGGGTGTAAATCGGACGTGATTCTAGAAAAGACTCTGGAGTTGCCCTGATGTAAAACTGGGGCAAGTCAATACAGAATTGGGCCCACTTTGCTCTCAGTGGAAATAAGTAGTTATGGCACAAGACTGTGAGTCAGGAAATCTGGGGTTTAGTCCAGCATCTGGACCAGACTTCTGGTGAGTAAAGCACTTCTGTGACTCAGTTTTCCTCACCTGTAAAATGGAGATAATACCTAGCTCATGGATGTGTGGGGGACTTATTTAGTGTATATAAAAGTGCAGCGCAAAGTATTTCTTGTGCGGTGTCTGCCAATACCACGCCCTTCCTGGCAATTGTCATTGAATGTTGATAGTAGGTGAGGACGTAGGCCCCAAAAGTGAAGTGACTGAGGAGTGGGTTATCTCTGTCATCAGTAACTGCAGAAATTAGAAATGTGTTTTGTCTGCTTGCTTTGTCCATAGAGGAAGCAAAATACTGAATCGAGCCAATGGCTAAGACATTGCTGGCCATCTGCTACTAGGAACTGACCATTCATTTCTTCTGTCTTTTGGGATACAGCTAGGGTCTCCAGATTTAAGTTTAAATCAAAGCATATGTTCAATACATGCAGAGAGTACCTCTGACTTACCACTTGTGCAAGGTTTGCACGGGAAGAAGAGGCCTGCTGGCAGAGTTAGATGGGGTTGTGTTCAAGAAAGGGGGACGCGCCTTCAATTCGAGGGAGGTAGCGAGAGCTTGAAAAAGTATATTGTTCAATAAAAAGAAAAGGAGGACTTGTGGCACCTTAGAGACTAACCAATTTATCTGAGCATAAGCTTTCGTGAGCTACAGCTCACTTCATCGGATGCATTCAGTGGAAAAAATCCACTGAATGCATCCGATGAAGTGAGCTGTAGCTCACGAAAGCTTATGCTCAGATAAATTGGTTAGTCTCGAAGGTGCCACAAGTCCTCCTTTTCTTTTTGCGAATACAGACTAACATGGCTGCTACTCTGAAAATTGTTCAATAGGTTATAGAGCTGGGCAGAATTCCCCCAAGTAATTTGGGGAATCAGGATATACACTTAGTGAGCAAAAATATTCTCAAGTTTTTCTTCTTTTAGTAAATGAAGCAGGCAGTAAAAGCCTGGTGCAGGGAACTGCACTTTCCCTATCAGCTAAATGGCATTGGAGCCTCATGGTATCCAATAAATGCTGTTTAAATATGGGACTGCCCACTGGCTATAGAGCGCATGCAGACTGCAGAGCAGGTTTGAGGTCATTCCTTCAGAACCATAGATACCTGAGACCAGGATATGAGTCCTAAGCAGCAGTGGTTGTGGAAGGAACAGCTAACTTATCCTGGGTTTCAGACTTCCAGGAGATTTTTCTGGTGGCGGAATGCATTGAGGGCTGGGTTGCTGACAGGCCAGCTTAGACATCGCCGCCTGCATATTGCTACAGAGGCATCGATGGCAGGATAAACGCAGGTTTCAGCTCCGAGAAAGCAAGGCCATCAGCTGTACAACAAAGCCAGATACGCCATCCTGGTGAGTACAATCTCAAATGGGTGTCACTGCCGGCAAGAAAACCACAGGGCTTGGATTCACAGCAAGATGAAATTACAGGGCACAAGTGTGGCTTGGCTAAATAAAGCTCCGGCACTGAACATCACCTCCTTCGCAGATCTAATCTAGGTAGGCAAACAGGGAGCTGTGACTTCTGTTTTTCTGTTTTATTTTGATCCCTTCATCTCCTCCTCCCTATTGGCCTGTTCTGTCCACTTGTCTGTGTCTGGCCTGTCTTGTGATGGAGCGGTCTGGAGGAACAGGCAATTCCATTTTGCAACAACTTCCAAGGTTTTGAAGTTTGTTTTTGTTCCACAATGACATGAAAACTAAATGTTTCGAATGATTTTGCAAAACAGATCTGTGTCAGAGTGTCTGGGTTTAGACTCGGAGGCGTAGCCGTGTTAGTTTGTATCCACAAAAACAACGAGGAGTCCGGTGGCATCTTAAAGACGAACAGATGAATTTGGGCATAAGCTTTCGTGGGTAATTTGTAGACTGGAAACCTTGGTTTTCATTTCGCATCTTTCTCTGGTCCAAAGTGACCAGGGAACCCCAGACCTCAAAAACCTTTGTGTCAAAAGCAGCATGTCTCTGTAGAACATGACGTCCTCAACAAAATAGAGTTAAATAAGGAGCGAGCTCTCTGGGGCAGGTTCTGTCTTCTTTGTTACTTGTCTGTGTAGTGCCTAGCACGGGACCTTGACTGAGGTTCCTGGATGCTAATGCAATATGTTTAATACCAAGCTTTATGGCCCCAGTTTAGGATGGTCTCGTGGCACGGGGTGTGTGTCCATGATCACAGTTAACGTGTGCTCTGGGAGGTTTGGGTACATTTGTGCCTGTGTATAAATTATGACCAAAGGTGTGGCTTTGTTTTTTTTTTAAAACAACAAAACTTTGTAAAACCCTAATACAGGTGGTGGTTTAAATTCCACTGAAATCAGGTCTAGGTTTTTGTGGAATTCAATATTCCATTGTTGTAGTTGTTATCTAGGCTTTGCCACGCTGCGCTTGTGAAACTGAATAGGGCCTATGCTGAGTGAGGTATAAGGAGCGGACAAATAGCATAAATGCGGGGAAAGAATTACCTTTCTAAGGGAGGTTTCAAAGTAGCAGCCGTGTTAGTCTGTATCCGTAAAAAGATAAGGAGGACTTGTGGCACTTTAGAGACTACTAATAAATGTGTTAGTCTCTAAGGTGCCAAAGTACTCCTTTCTTTCTAAGGGAGTTGGCATATCCCACCACACAGCTCACGAGGCTTTATGTTCCCTGTATCGTCACTGTCACTACCCCATTCTGTGTCTCCGTTTCCTCCTCTGTAAAATGGGGATAAATGTGCTTTTTCACATTTGTCAACCACTTTGAGACCTGTGGATGGAAACGTGCTGTATAAAGGCCGGGTGTGGTGGTTTTTTGTTTGTTTTTTAAATGAGTTAAGGTGGTGTTAGGAACACAGGTCAGGAAACTTGTTTCTTTAGAAGTGACATTTAACCTTTCAAGAAACTCCAAGCATTGCGTTCTACCACACTGCCTCTTGTCCAGGCTGCTATAAGCAACAGCTCTGTTTGTTTCAGGTTATAGCTGATGACACGGCCTCCATGTTATGATGCCATCACGTACTAATCTAGCTGCTGGGATCCCCAGTAGCAAAGTGAAGTACTCCAAGCTCTCCAGTACTGACGATGGTTATATTGACCTGCAGGTAAAAGGGGAAAACAGAGGGAAACCTCCTTTTTTTACTTCTTCTTTTTCTTCTTCTTATGTGACAAAAGTATCCTGCAGCTCTGATCTTGTTCCTTGTTGACCTCCATAAATATGGCGGGATGAGATTCCTCTCTGGCCCCTGTGTGCTGCTCTGGTCGGGTATAAGGCACCTACACAGCCTGCAGGAAGGGAAAGAAGAATTCCCCTGGCTTGTGCGCTGCTACGCTGGGCACGTGTCCCATTGTATTATGCTCCATGCGTGCACACGAGTGCCAGGAGAGGGAGTGCAGTCACAGCGTACGTGGCTGCGACCATTCAGGCTTGCGATGGGAGCATTGGGGAGGCTACCATAGCTTTGTACGGCCGAGAGGGCCGCTTGCACCGTGGTGCAGCCCAGAATCAGGAAGGGACAAAGGTGTCTTAAAGCCCCTCTCCTTTGGCTTGCACTTCCTCCAGCTGCGTCTCCAGCACGGAATCTGTGCCGGGCGGCGGACCGGCCCCGGGGATCATAGAATCATAGAATATGAGGGCTGGAAGGGACCTCAGGAGGTCATCTAGTCCAAGCTCCTGGTTATTTTAACAAGGTTAGATCTATATCTGTTCCTTTGCGGGGGGATGAGAAGACCCCATTGTGGAGTGACAGCTCTGAAGGGAACAGACGCTGCTGACACTTCCAAATCTGTCTGAGCTACAGCCGGCTCTGGGAACAAGGGCGTATGAATCCTTGCTCTGAAAGAACAGGGTGTTACGTGGGCAGAATTCCTCTGAGCCGATAGGCACTGAGCAGCTTACTTGATAGGACCCAGCTGTTGCTGCTCTCGCAATCCCCCCGGCTAGGGAAGACCCCTGTGGTGGTTTCTCTGCTTGGTCTGAGGGCCGCCATCCGCCCCGCTCACCTCCTAGGTGTGGGATTCGTGCCCACGCCAAAAACATGCTACATTTTAATGCCATTTAATATCTGCCTTCCCTGCAGTTCAAGAGGAGCCCACCCAAAATCCCCTACAAGGCCATTGCACTAGCCACTGTGCTGTTCATGATCGGCACCCTTCTGATTGTCATAGGAGCGCTTCTCCTCGCAGGATACATTAGCAAAGGAGTAAGTGGGCTAAATATCTTCTTAAATATGGTTTGTGTTCAGTGCCAAAAAAAAATCCCCTCCTGCCAACTTTTATTTGTCTTAAATATGGAACTTCACTGCTAAGGCCTGTGGGCAGAGTGAGAGCTTTTCTCCCTGAATAACGTTTGCCAGCGGCCCTGCTGCCCTTGGCTGTAATCCCATCTGCATTCTCTAGCTAGGCGTGATTGGGGCTGGTCTGTGCTTGCATAAGGAAAAATGATGTCCTGCCAGCTACCAGTACTGACCCATCGTGGTGACGGGAGTGCTGGGCTTGCTGTCTTTCAGAGGAGACGTCCAGCTAAGGTCCTGATCACTGCTTTTGACTAAAGATCTCATGGCCCCCTTCTGGAGGAGTGTTCTGGCCAAACTATAGTCCATAAAATTGTAGTTTTGGTTTTTTTTATTATTATTATTTCTTGCTTGCCCATCTAGGCATTTAAGCTGCACTCAAGGTAGTCGGTACCTAGATTTGTGCCTGTCACTCCACTTGGATACAGTATTCTTCTCCTTCTATTCTTAAGCTGTTACGCCGTGTTGCTTCAATAATGGCTGCTGCTTACCACTCCAGAGCTGGCTACATTTTAGAGGTAGATGAATTGATCGCTCAGTGGATAGGACTTCAGGATTTGACCCTTGTTCAGGTGCAATGCCAGTTCACAGGAGAGTTTTCCCTTTGCAAAGTTTGCAGGCCTTGGCTTGTGCTGGGCAGTTTTGTTTTGTTTTTAAAGCATCACAAAGTTGCACTGTTTCCAAGCTGCAAAAGGAGCCATATAAACCGAATGAGAACTAACAATAGTTCCCCTCCCCTGTGCCTTGTCAAGTAAAACATTAATCACATCGGAGCTGCTCTGGTCTAGAGTGATTTTTAAAATCAAGCCTGGCACAGAGTGAACTGGCCCTTTATGGACAGCTGGGCTCAGCTCCACCTGGGCCTAGTTATCTGCCTCCCAGAGGATGACCGATTTAGGCCAATGGTCAGACATCACATGATGGTAGCCTGCTTTGTCAGACAGGGGAAGAACAGGAGCTAGGAGAGGTCTCCGGAGAGTCTCAGAGCCTGGAGTGGGCCTGACAGTGTACAGTGGTCGAGAGGAGGAAGAAGTTGTCCCTACCAGCTGGAGGGACAGGTCTGGCTAGAGTTACCTATAGTGAGGGGCAGAAGCAAATCCTTAAGAAGGAATTAAAAGTCCAGGAGAAGAAGGCCAAGAGACTCTTGGTTTGAGTGAGTTTGTGTTAATAAACCGGACTCCACAAGGGCCGAGAAGGTCGGAGCACTGCTTATGGTGGTTGCTTGTCTGGGCGAGGAGGGAAACTGAGGCAGGGCCAGGGTGGGACACCAGTTGAGGCAAGCTTCTGTTACAAAGCCTTTGCTTTGAGGATTTATTAATTTTCTCCTGTTTCTCTGCTTCTCTCCTCCAGGGAACAGACCGAGCTATCCCGGTATTGATCATTGGAATCCTGGTGTTCTTACCAGGCTTTTATCACTTGCGCATCGCGTACTATGCTTCCAAAGGCTACAGAGGTTACTCCTACGATGACATTCCAGATTTTGATGACTAAAACGCACCCTGGAACCAGGGAGCGTGGCTCAAGTTATAACGAGCTTCGTGTTAAGGGATGTTAGTTAACTTGACCCTGGGTATCAAAGATGGAACATGTAAGAACCTAAACTAAGTAGATTTATCAGTGGATGCAATTTCCTCATTCTGTAAATATTTTATTGCCAGCTTTTTTGTGTTTACATGAATTCGACAGGCACGATTGCAACATTAGGTGAAGCAAAGGATTTACTGTAGGAGGAGCTCTTCTTGTTTCGAATGGGAGGTTCTTCTTGGGCAAGCCAAGCTGAGCAGTTGCCCAAAGGAGAGATGAACGGTATATAATTTCAGCAAAAATAAAAATGATTTTTGTCTAAAGAGATTTATATTTCTAATGGAGAGTGTATTGTAGAACATATATTGCCTTTCAAATAGATCAAAGCTATAGCAAGGATCTTTGTGGCAAACAAATATAATACATCCAATTTTGCACTGCTGCATAATCATCAAAATAATTCCAACGTCATCATTCACCATCATAGATTTGCATCTGGAATGTTGACCTATTTGCCAGTCTGATGCAAATGGGAGAGGAAATTGGATGTGTGCGCCATGATTTAGCGTGCATTTGCCATACAAGAACCCCTGTCAGGCTGATAAGTCCACTTACCTGACAAACACATTCCTTGAGTGCCAGCTGCTTCCCACCCTGCTGTTAATTTTGCTAAGGCTTGTTGGTCATCCTTTCATAAGGACGACTTAAGATTTTGCTTAATGAAGGATTTTAAACAAACTTTGTGGCGAGGCAGGATGAAGAATTGAAAGCTGGGCCCTGGACCTGAATGTTTCATATCGTAAAATTCTGGTTTTGAGTACTGGTGACCATTAGGGAAGTTCAGATCCCCTCTTTGCAGACTGGGCTCATCTGTTTATATGTGTATTTGAGGTCATTTGGTCCTAGATTTAGACCCTGTACTGTACATAATACCCTAAACATATGAAAAGAAAAGCTATGCTTGGACAGTGCTGCACGTTATCCGCTTCTATTGCTCTGTTAGCTGCATTTTGTCAGATTATTCTGGAGATTCAGAAGAAACGGAGGACAACGGGTAGATTTCTTCTTGATGTCAATAAGAGCGAAGTGGCTTCCGAGGTGTAATTGAACTGGGTGTCCCAAGAAGCAAGTATGGAACGATAAATTGTAATGTAAAATTCAAGCATATGCATTAGTATGAATAAACTGCACTATAGTCGATGTGTGGTTCATAAGCATGTCTCTTTTAAATCCGAAGACGCTCATATACAAAAAGAATGATTCCCAAACTTCCTGGAAGTCATTCTGCCTGGTACCTAGATTGAGCCTTCGGTGGGATCTGCCATTGTCTACTGCCTCCTCTTCCAGTATTCATGCTGCCATCTGCCAGAGACAGTGGGCAGGAGTTTGCCAGGATGGAGTTTTGAGCAGCTTCATCTTCATTATGGGCTCACATGCAGCGAGCTGAATGGCGGGGGGGTGCATTGAGTCCCAGTGCTCACCATCAAGGTGGCGGGAGGGGGAAGCCTAGAGTTAACACACCATGTATTGCAGCAGTTCCTGGAGCCCTTGTGTGAGAGACTGAGAGGCCGACCCTCATATGTTTAGCAGGTCAGGAGGGGCTCCAGTCCCTCCTGGTGCTTCTCATCTGATTCCCATAGGATAGGTTTACAGCTCGTAAATGCAGCCTGAACTGCTTCACATAGGGCCCAGACCCTGAGTGGGGGAGTCTGCTGAAGCTGGAGGGAGCAAGAATGGGATTTATTTACCTTAAGGAGTTATCTCAAAGCGTAAAATGTGGAGGCTAAGCTTTTTTAGAAGAGTGGGCCATCTTGGGTAGAATGGCTGAAATCAATAGCTTGGTCTCTACCTTTCCATCCACAATGCCAACTCTTGAAGGGTAACTATGTTGATAGAAGGAGCACCTTCTGAGCCTATCAAGGGGCTGCGCAAGCAGTTGTCAAACATGAAAATCAGTAATTGGAGGATGGGCTTAATCAAATGTAACAGGACATCTTATTCCTGGGAGACTTGTGCCTCCACCTACCTTCTAGAAGAAAGCACAATACCCTGGGATCCAGCTCTGAGAGAGAGACATTTTAACTGAAGCTGGCACAGGGTACGTGGCTTGACAACCAATAGATCAGTCGCTTTCTATTTTATATATCCAAACTATAGAACCATAGACATGTAGGACTGGAGGGGACCTCAAGAGGCTATCCAGTTCTTTGCCCTACCCTAGGGCAGGATTACCGTCTCTGACTGGTGTTTGTCTGACCTGTTCTTATAAACCAGGCAACTGGAGCATTTTTATTTTATTTTTTTTTGAAGGCAAATGTGTGTTTGTGTTCCAGTAGAACACAGGCCCCAGACCAGGGTCCTGTACAGAGACAGACACCGAGGAGGGACTTCCTGACTCATGATTTTCAAAACTGTCTCGTGCTTCTTTGGGGTGCCTTATTTTGTATTGTTTTTTCCTTTTGTACACATCTTTGGGTACCAGGCGCTTTCTGAAAATGGGGCCCCTTTAACGTGTCAAGTTGGGAACTTAGAAATTAAGGCACTCAGAGATCTCAGGTCACTTGGCATTGTATGCCAAATAGCCAAGTGGCCTTTACTGCACCCATGTAACACGGGAGGGAACTTCTGGCTGCTACAATAGGGACACTGTTCTAGTCTTGACTCCCCCACAGGCCTAGTCTGTAGCTGTGGGCAGGTCATTTATGGCCTGATTATTGAAGAGGGGGTAAGCAAAGGCAGCTGCCAAGGTTGTTCCAGGCGTCTGAAAGGCCACTGTCCCCTCTCCATCTGTTCCCCTAGCTACAAAGCATGGTGATGGCAATGCACGTAGTTATCAGCCGGCAGTGGTGGGAGCTGAGACTTGCTGGATGTGAGAGTCTCAAAGGAAAGCTGCTCCTCCCGTGCAAAGTAGCACTTCTAGTGCACGCCACACACGTGTTGAGGCTCAGGTGAGAATTTTTCCGGGCAAACGTCTCCCATATAACAGGTTGATTTGAGACAATAGTGCTCATTTTTAAGTTCCCTTTGGTTTTCTGCCTCCCTTTCTCTTTTCCCCTGTACACTCTTGTGTTCTGTGCTAACCTCCAAGTCCTGATTTCCCCCCCACGCACACACACACACTTTTTTGGGGGGGTCTAAATTCTATTCCCTGGGTTGTTGCACTGTCCTTAATTGAGTGACTTGCACGTGCCCGGAGTGTTAGGGCCAAGGGAACGGATTGATTGAACGCAGGATGTCAGTTCTCCCTGTCTGCTGCTTTAACCCATCTGTTGGAAGGAAATGAAATATACACGTGCCTCTCTGCTGTGCTGTGTCATGCTGGCTCAGCGCTTCACCCTTCCTGACGTTGTTCACTCTCTGGTCAGATGTCACTGCCACTTCCCAGATGTTGTTACATAGCGGCTGGGAGCAGCTGAAATCCATCAAGTGAGAGCCAAGTCCAGAAAGGAAGGTGGCAGCTGACGCCAGGCAATGAGTCAGCATTGTGTCTGCAGCTGACATGGCAGGTGAAAGTTATATTTTAGGAAGGTGGAGGAGAGGGGAAGAAGAGGTTTTAAAGTGAAAGTGAGGATTATACAAGGGGGCTTGTGGATAAGGTAACATAAAAAGTGAGTTTCTGACCTTCCTACTTGCAGAGAAACACTTAACAGTGTGACCCAAGTGCTCTCTGAAGGCTCAGAAACCAGGAGGCAAAGAAAAATCACCCCACATTTATAGTTTTTTTAAGCCAATCTGATAATTTTTGAATGCCTGTGGATAGCAATGTCGGTGTCGATACGATGCTGTAGTAACACTGATGCCTGTTTCCCCCATTAAGAAGAGCTCTTAAGATTTAGACAATGTGCAGCATGGGAATAATCCAACAGAAGGCTTGGGGACAAAGAACAGTAGGGGTAGGTGCTGGTGAAGGGGTCCTGACCTCACGCACTAGCTACAGGGCCTGAATGCAGCCAGACTCCAGTCAATGGTAGATCCCAGGTTCTGGGTATCTCGCCTCTCTGCTGCTCCTGCCACAATCCATAAAAATTGCCGTGTTTCTGCCCTAACACTGTATCCTACTCCCAAGAAGGCCGCTCCCCAGACTGTGCTAAGGCCTTTTCCTCCTGCTCGGGATAGAGCTGACACGAGCTGAGAGAGAGGTGGCCACCAGCAGCTTTAAGCTCAGAAATGCCAAGGATAATTAAAGTGGATCTTCTAACACTTCCTAGGGAGACGTGAAGTCCTTTCAGACAGCAGAGCTGAGCCAAGTGCTTTCATTTAAGCTTAGAAAGACTGAGCCAGCCAGGCGACTGTGCTCTGAGTGATACAGTGATATAGAGGCCACTGACTCAGGTTCTTTGAGTGTCTTTGGGTGAGCTTGGCCAGAACAAAGAGGGAAATTGTAACACAGGGCCCGGGTCTTGGAACAGACCCGTGATCCAACACCCTGTTTCAAGATTCTGGCTGATGGGTGGAGTCCAGTCACCGAAGGGTCTTGTGAAAGTTTGGAAGTAACACTTTGTACGAGAGACCTTGCTCAATGAAAGCGAGAGGGGTCAGGAGAAGTACTTTTAAGAAGCACTTGGCAGCATCCCAGGCAGAAGTAGACGGCTTAATGGAGAGAAGCTGTAGGAAAGGCCAAATAGCAGGTCCTGGGTTTTAGGGAAGAACCATAGAGTGTCCAAAGGGTTAAGTTAGCACTGCACAATTCTGTTGAATAAGGAAAGTCCTGACGCTCTGCTGAATAAGGAAGGCTTTTGACACAGTCTCACATGACATTCTCATAAGCAAAATAGAGAAGTGGGTGCATAACTGGTGGAAAGGCCGTACTCGAAGAGTAGTTATGAATAGTTTGCTGTTAAACTGGGAGGGTGTATCTCGTGGGGTCCTGCTGGGGTCAGTCCCAGGTCTGGTACTAGTCAATATTTTCATTGATGACTTGGATAATGGTGTGGGGAGCAGGCTTTTAAAATTTGCAGATGACATCAAACTGGGAGGGGTTGCAAGCACTTTGGTATACAGGATGGGGGGAGGGATAGCTCAGTGGTTTGAGCATTGGCCTGCTAAACCCAGGGTTGTGAGTACAATCCTTGAGGGGGCCATTTAGGGATCTGGGGCAAAAATTGGGGATTGGTCCTGCTTTGAACAGGGGGTTGGACTAGATGATGTGCCCCAAGTGGAGTGCCCCAAGGGTCGGTCCTGGGGCCGGTTTTGTTCAATATCTTCATAAATGATCTGGAGGATGGTGTGGATTGCACTCTCAGCAAATTTGCGGATGATACTAAACTGGGAGGAGTGGTAGATACACTGGAGGGGAGGGATAGGATACAGAAGGACCTAGACAAATTGGAGGATTGGGCCAAAAGAAATCTGATGAGGTTCAATAAGGATAAGTGCAGGGTCCTGCACGTAGGATGGAAGAATCCAATGCACCGCTACAGACTAGGGACCGAATGGCTAGGCAGCAGTTCTGCGGAAAAGGACCTAGGGGTGACAGTGGACGAGAAGCTGGATATGAGTCAGAAGTGTGCCCTTGTTGCCAAGAAGGCCAATGGCATTTTGGGATGTATAAGTAGGGGCATAGCGAGCAGATCGAGGGACGTGATCGTTCCCCTCTATTCGACATTGGTGAGGCCTCATCTGGAGTACTGTGTCCAGTTTTGGGCCCCACACTACAAGAAGGATGTGGATAAATTGGAGAGAGTCCAGCGAAGGGCAACAAAAATGATTAGGGGTCTAGAACACATGATTTATGAGGAGAGGCTGAGGGAGCTGGGATTGTTTAGCCTGCAGAAGAGAAGAATGAGGGGGGATTTGATAGCTGCTTTCAACTACCTGAAAGGGGTTTCCAAAGAGGATGGCTCTAGACTGTTCTCAGTGGTAGCAGATGACAGAACGAGGAGTAATGGTCTCAAGTTGCAGTGGGGGAAGTTTAGATTGGATATTAGGAAAAACTTTTTCACTAAGAGGGTGGTGAAACACTGGAATGCATTACCTAGGGAGGTGGTAGAATCTCCTTCCTTAGAGGTTTTTAAGGTCAGGCTTGACAAAGCCCTGGCTGGGATGATTTAACTGGGAATTGGTCCTGCTTCGAGCAGGGGGTTGGACTAGATGACCTTCAGGGGTCCCTTCCAACCCTGATATTCTATGATTCTATGATCTTCTGAGGTCCCTTCCAACCCTGATATTCTATGATGAGAATTCAAAATGTCATTGTCAAA